TTCTGAATTAAACACAATTAAATATTGATTTAAGTGTAATCTGATCAACACATATGCTCTTAAATGCTTTCAAATATAGTATATATTTAATTTTAATATCTGTTATCTAATACTGCGACTGACCACTTATCAAGGGAAGTAACCGCTGCGGATCAGTTTACCATTTTAGTTATCGTTCCTGACAAGAGTGGCGCTCCGCACTCGAGCGGATATTTGAAAAGTAAAAGGACGTGACACAACAAAGACGTACGATATTTTAGTAAAATCATCAAAGGTAAGCATTTTCCGCTATAATAGATAGTTTCTTAGATGCATGTTGTTCTTTTACTAATTGCTTGTCGTATTTCTTCTCTGTATTTTGGAATAGTCCAGTCAATTTGTAACAAAATATGCTCAAATACTTCAGAAAATGGGAAAAGCATGAAACTTGGCACAGATGTTAATGAAGGCAAAAGAAACATTTTGGGCATGGGACCCATTTTATATATGCCAAGATGGTTGCCATGGCAGCCATTTTTTAAAATGGCCGCCATTTCATGGAATTATTACCTTTCTTTTCCAGTAGAGGTTATTTATACTTACAATTATACTGGAAATTACCCCATTTTGCACTTAACATAAGAGATTTGCATTACTAATAATCAAAGATACAAGTTAACAATTATAATGCTATTAATTGTTTCTGTTTCCATGGTAACAAGTTACTGAAATTACAAAACATTCTATTTCAGTACTTTGAAATATTTTTTGATTATTTTCTCATATTCAATTTATTTGTTGTAATCCTAAGTAGAAGATCATGTCAAATAACTATGAGATATAATGCCTTAAAATGCTTTATGTGTAGATTGTGAGCAATTTACCATATAAGAAGTATTCAAATTGTAATGTCTGAATTTACATAATTTACAAACAGACTAGGATGTCTTAACATATTCCATTCCTGTAAATGCAAGGAAAGCTGGAAGTATTTATATTTCCTTCTTTTTTGCTAGCACCAAATATTACCTAAATTCCATGTTAAACAAATCTTATGATACTATGAAAATGAAAGAACAAAAGCGTATTTATTTAAGGTACTATATATATAGTGCCTGAAAGGGTTGATTGACCCTCATTAGGCATAGAATAGAGAAAAACAGAATCCCTAAAGAAAGTCCAACACAATAAAATTGAAAATGTTGCAGGCTCGGTTTGATTGAGCCTGTTCATGGACGATACTGGAAAGTGCAAGGTACCGTCCACGCCCCCTAGCACCGGCTTAAGTTGAATTCAACATTTAACACGAAAATGGTGAAATTTTGAATTTAGAAACATCCGCAGATGTGTTCATACGGCGGTTATCATGGAACCTTCAATGTGGCACAGTAGTACCATTCCATGAAAAGCGGCGTATCGTCCCCAATTAAAAAAATGCTTTTGCCCTAAACAAGAAAACAATGGGCGAAACAAAATAAAATGGAATTTTATACACACGGTCCTGTAGGCATTGAGTTCTCAGATCTATTAAATGTAACACCACTTTCATGTTGGATTATTCATAATTCAATTTGAGAGTGATTACAACCTTACAGATATGACCCAAATATTTATTTTTGATGTTTTTTAAAGGGAGACACAGGCAACATTTCCATTCCCTCGTTTTAAATTTCTCGTTCATCAATCTGTAAATCCTTAAAATATATACACTTGACAGTCATCGGTGATTCTGTCGGCGGCTAAATTTCGTTTATATCTACGCTTCAAACTCAAAATGAAAAAAATTGATACCGAAATTCATGCCTGGACTTTTACAAATGTCATTTTAGCGTGATTTGAGTACTACATAAGATAATTTTGGTATTGTCATTAATTTGCCTGCGTATTCCTTAAAGTTTTTTTTTCAAATTTCATCATTTACGTTCAATATTAAATCTTAGTTGCGAAGATATTTAAAGAGTGTGTAGTTTTGCACTTTGCAAGCTCGATGCATATTGAAATTTTATGGGTGATGCTGAGTGTCCTTTTTCATGTATTATAATGATATCAAGTATCTCTCTAGTTGACGGAAGTCTATCTGAGGTAAGACTTTATCTGAAGTTAATGTTAAACATAGTCCGCCTTAGACTTGATAACATAAACAACCGTGACTTAACATGCTTTATCAATCACAGGAATCTTCGACTATGAATAAAACAGAGAACCAATGTTCACGATATGCAGTCCTGATAACGTTAAGTCACATGAATTTGTTAATCAGGTAATTGTTATGCCAAATAATATGATAAACAAGATCAACAAGGAAAGGCGGCGTTCAATGAACGCAACCCCGTTGCATTCATTCAAAGTGGGCAGGCGTGCAGGTGAGCGCACGTCAACTTTTGGTTTCCGCTCAACTTGAGTTTGCTTTTACCTATAGACACTAAACTTTGTGTGTGTGGGTAGCTTATATCAAGAAGCAGCTTGGGATTGCTCCCCAGGTGTTTTTGATCAACGTCACTGCTGCTAAAAATAGAAATTCAGTTTTCGCTCAATAGCTCGAGTTTGCTTTGGCCTATTGACAACAAACTTGGTGTACGGTAGCTTTTAAGAGGCATCTTGGGGTTGCTACCTTGGTGTCAGTGATTAAGGTCAAGATCACTGTTACACAAAAGTAGAAATTCAGTTTCCGCTCAATCACTTGAGTTTGCTTCGGCCTATTGACATCAAATTTAGTATGTGGGTAGCTTATATCAAGATGCAACTTTGTATTGCTACCAAGGTGTGTGTGCTCATGGGCAAGATCACTGTCGCTTAAAAAAGAAACTTAGTTTTCACATTATAATTTGAGTTTGCTTTCACCTATTGACTCTAAACTTGTTGTGTGGGTAGCTTATATTACGATGCAGCTTTGGATTGCTATTTAGATATCTGGGAGCTATGTCACTTTTTTGTTGTTTTTAGAACAAAATTACAAAACTGGGATTGGTAGCAAAGAGCCTAAGTTAGGATATTTGCTTTTTATCTTTGTAAAGTTGCTCTTTGGGATTTCGAGCTGCAAACAAGATAACCAATATGTTTATCCTATTTGAGCTTCGAAACTGTACCAAATCTCAACCATCATTCTCATTCTATGGAATTGTTCGTAATTACGTCACATATCATAAAAGGAAAGGAACAAAACCCTCTTTTATAGCCTATTTTGGAATTTACGTTCTTGATCTTGATGATGAAAATCAATATGCTTTTCTCTTTACTCTTGTCTTGTTTAAGCATGTCAACGAAAATTTGGAATTTGTTGTCAAGTCTAGAAACTGCTGAGCCATTACAACAAAACCCAGCACAAAATACTGACTGAGACTCTAAATAGTAACAAACAACACATTCATCACATGTTCTCATAAGCATGATCAAGAGCTGTCAGCATTAAGAGAGAAATACCCTAGGTATCTGATGTTTAATGGGCAGCAAGGCATACTCATATTATTTTCAATGTCCCATTCGTTCTAAACCTTAGACTTGGTGACGTATCTTGAATCTTACAAACATTTGAGGCCCTCAGAAGAAAAACAGTGCCAAGATATGGCAAATTATCTAGCACGTTTGTCCATTGTTTTCCTATAAAGGGCTGTTGACTTTGTAATGTCTAAAATAAAAACTTGTAAGAACATGCCTTTTGGAATTTTGTTTAAAAATATGAGAAAACATGATTGCAAACGGAGGCAAAAAAGCATGAAACCCAGCAACTAAATGTAATATTTTGTGGCACAGGGCAACTTTAGGGACACCAAAATGGAATTTGACATATAATTGGTGAAGGTGGTGGCATTAAAGAAGGTAGAGGGGTATTATATCAATTTTTGATACATCCCGAAGGTAAAAAAAAGTTGATGTTATTTACAATAATGAGTTAGTGTAAATTCTAACTAGATTAGTCTTGAAAGTTGGTGTCAAGTTAGCAGTTAATCAATCGAAAACCAATGTGTAGTGTTTTCATCAAAGGTGTGTCAAAATCTGAGTCTGTACACTGCAAATTTCTACAAAATTATCATTCCATTTTTATACAACAAATGGACAGTCATGTACTTTCATATGAAGAAAAGGGATAGTTTATAATGAATTTATTTTCAGTAACGCATACTTTGAGTCCAGAGACATAGATAACATCTACATCTCTGCTTTGACAAAATGTACATTATATGTACATTATATATGTCTGCTGGGTTTTCGTATTTTTCTTCTACATATTCTAAAAAATGCACTTTTATAAAGTTTCATATTTTTATGATATGACAATTCAAATACCAAATGACTGTTAAAATTTGACACATGTTAGCTTATAATTCTGTTATTCACACCTTCTTTGCTTAATACCTTTCACAGCTATCAACAAGATAAAATTGCAAGGCGTACACCTGACTTGATGGGCAGATATTTATTTTCCGTTTGCTTGAGTTATGCTAGAATTTTTAAATACTTTTTTTAATCTGTTTGATAAGTATTTCCTAGTGATAAATTAACATTGTAAACAAAAAAACAAAAAGGAATGTTGTAAAAAATGATGTCTTAACATCTTTAGAAGACAGCGATGACAGACCTCTACAATATTTTATTTCATCGGATTTCCAGGGTCGTGAAAACTAATGACAAACAGAAATAATAAAATATGTTAAGTGTAATAGCTTTAAAAAGACAAAGCAATGTTTAAATACTAATAACAACTATTTTTCTGATTACAATACCCTAATTTGCAACTACCTATCAAGTTCTCTTAGTAAAAACAAACGTTTTTGAAATTTTTAACACGTATGGCGGCCATTTTGGATTTTTCCCGCCATATTGGATTTTCAAAAATGGGTCACATGCTCAATTTTTCTTATATATATCAAAGTTCATTTGTACCAAGTTTGGTGCTTTTCCCATTTTCTGAAGTATTTTTTCAAAAATTGACTGGACTAACAATGGTGGTAGCAATATCATTCTTGCTTTCTTCAAATGATGACACACGTAGTCACTACATAGACTATTCTAGTGATTTACTAAAGTACTTTGTCAGGCAAGCTGAGCATATCTATGGAAACACTTTTGTATCATACAATATTCATTCTTTGATTCATATTGCTGATGATGCAAAGTTTTTCGAGACATCATTGAATGAAATATCAGCTTTCAAATTTGAAAACCTCTTGCACCAACTAAAGAAATGTGTAAGAAACTCTAAAAATCCTATTGCGCAGATTGCCAAACGTTCATTTGAATTCGAATCATCAGTTAAAACAATTTTTTTTAAGTTAAGGTTTCCTTTTATTTCTACTCGACAGAAAGATAGCTGCTTTTTTACAAAGACGGGAAAAATTGCATTTATTAAAGAAAAGAGGAAACAAACTTTAGTCTGTGACTTGTGCAGCATGAATGACACAGAAAGTTATTTTGTGTCCCCTTGTGATTCAAAGCTACTGAACATATGTTTACTAAAAAATAACACTAAGTTCAAAAGACAGTTACTAGAGAAGAGAGATTTAGAACGCAAAGTTGTCTGCCTACCTGTTGAAAGAGGATTTGTGCTGCTGCCTATGCTGCATGCAATTGAAAGAAAATAGAACCAGTTATCCTGTGTTACCCGTTTTCCTGCATGGTTGTAATTGCATGTTCCTTTCAGGTAATAATTTTATATCATTCAGATAAAAGCAAAAATATTTTGATTGATTTTCATGTAAAAATTTGCTGTCCACTAACGTACAATGTGAACACATCTGTGGATGGATGTTTTTAAGTTCAAATTTCAACATTTTTGTGTTAAATGTTTAATTATGCTTATAAAAGTGGTGATATGGAGCGTGGACAGTAACTTGCGCTTTCAGTTACTTTCCATGAACAGACTCAATCATACAGAATCTGCAACATTTTCTATTTTGTCGTTTTTGGGCTCTTAAGGGATTCTGGGTTCTTAAGGGATTCTGTTTTTTAGTAACTCATTAGAGTGATATTCTTATTTAGTGTGTACCAAAAATTTAAACAAATTTGATTCACAAAATCAGCATAAATAGAACAGGCTTCATTCATTGTTAACAAGTATTTATAAACACTTCCTTCTTTTCATGTTTGTGAAAAGTAAAAATAAAAATATATATTGAAATTTAATCTTATATTCTTGACAGAAAATGGAACACAGCAAAGCAGAGTGGAGTTTAGCGGTATGGCTTGAAGGTGAAGTAGAAGAAGAAGGTGTTATTCCTTCAAAGTGGATAATTGGTGACCATTCTGTAAAATGGCCACAAGGTGTTAGCGCCATTCGGGCAATGAAAGAAATGAGGTCTCCTGAGAATAAATGGGAATCTTTCGACTTAATTAAAGTAAAGTTTCAGTCTGGTACGTGCCTTCTTTTATCATGTTATGCTAGTCTTACTTAAAGAATTTCTTAAAGTTAAATCAACCAATTTTGTTATTTTGGTTTTAAAGAAGATCTAATAGTGTAATAAATATAAAAGATCTACAAAGTAAGCATCATGACTGAACTTGTACAGTTGCTGTACAGAACTTGAAGATGATTATTGTAAGAATATTTAATTTCTTGCTTATATATGGAACTGAATTTGATACTGATACAGTGATTTTTTTACTTTTTCGCAACAACCCATATCCCTGAAATTGTGCATTTTTAGCACGATAATCTGTCAAATTGTGAAAAAATAAACAAGAATAAATCATTACCTGTAGTCACTCTATTCATACATTTTAATAATTACATTCCTAGTTTCAGCTTTCTTCTTTTTATTCCCTCAAATATATCAATCAAATTCTCAAGATTGTGAAGAGGCCTTATTTCGGCTTCAAAATCAACCAAAAAAAATCACGGCAATATTTTCTTTTTAGACAACAGACAAGAATGTGAGGAGTATAATCAAACAACCACGGCAGAGTTAAGTGAAGAGGAAGAGGAAGGAAAAGAGTTGGGTAAAAGAAAACCAAAGAAAAGAATTATGGAAGACTTCATATCAGGTAGTTATAAGAAAAAATGAATTAAAAGATAATTTCATCCAAATATCTGAGAAAAAGTTCTTGAGTAATGATTCTCACACGACCCGCATTTTTCACTATTGAATATAGAAGAACCGAAAGTGTGTGTTATTATGTAATAAAATCACTGTTGGCATTCTGTATTTATATATGTGACGTAATCATTATACATATGACGTAACAAATAAAACATCTGACATGCTGAAAATAAGTATGGAAACTATTCAGACTCAATTTTGTTTAATATCAGGTACAGCTGCATTTATTTGTTGATGTCGTGTTAGAATTGAAATAATATATCCAAATGGGTGATTTTATTGCTTGATAAAATCACTGTTTGTGGTTCAGATGCACATCATTATATTACTCCGGCTACGCCCTGGCCTGATTATATAATTCCTCGCATCCGAACTCCAAACAGTGATGTTATTGAGAGATAAAATCACTGTTTGGGAATATAATACAATGCTGTTTACATGAAATTAAGTTGGTTATAGATAAAGTTTTGACAGGTTGTTCTTAGAACTCGAATAAAGATCTGGCTCCGCCCTGGTGATATAATTCCTCGCATCCGAACTCCAAACAGTGATGTTATTGAGAGATAAAATCACTGTTTGGGAATATAATACAATGCTGTTTACATGAAATTAAGTTGGTTATAGATAAAGTTTTGACAGGTTGTTCTTAGAACTCGAATAAAGATCTGGCTACGCCCTGGTGATTTAATTCCTCGCATCCGAACTCCAAACAGTGATGTTATTGAGAGATAAAATCACTGTTTGGGAATATAATACAATGCTGTTTACATGAAATTAAGTTGGTTAAAGATAAAGTTTGACAGGTTGTTCTTAGAACTCGAATAAAGATCTGGCTACGCCCTGGTGATATAATTCCTCGCATCCGAACTCCAAACAGTGATGTTATTGAGAGATAAAATCACTGTTTGGGATTTATTACAATGCTGTTTACATGAAATTAAGTTGGTTATAGGTTAAGTTTTGACAGGTTGTTCTTAGAACTTGAATAAAGATCTACACATAATAATATCATGATTATGATTCTTGCACCTACATTTACTTCTTGCACCTACATTTACAATGTGATTTTTTGATCAAGAATAAAAGAAATATACAGATAATTTATAAGCCAAAACTCTTTGAAAATGACATTAACAAACTAATTAAATTTACTACTAGTACATGTAATTGTTTTTAAATAATATTATCTTGTATTCTGTACAACTTTTAGAAATAGATGAAACGAGAACAAGAACTGAACAAACAGTGATTCCAAATTCCCCACTGCCTTGTTCAAGTGCCAAATTGACACAAGATAAAGAGAAAGAAAAGAGTTCAAACAAGGCTCAAGAGAAAAAGTTTCTAGTAATACAATGTATGTTTTAAAAAGTATATATACTAGAAAAATATCTTGATAATACAGCTGATATATATATACATGGATACAAGTTGTCAGGGTACAAGTTGGCAGGCTTCTACTCCTGAAATATCTCTTTTTGTATATAAAACCAATTGGAATATTAAATACTAAATTTCAGTTTTTCGGATGTTTTTAACTTGTGACAAAAGGCCCTAATGGTCTGTCTGAATTTTCTAATGTGCCAAATTCGTACATTTAAATTTTTAAGTTTTGTCTTATTTTACTATTGTATACAACAATTAAATTTAAATATTTTAAAACTGATTGGTAAACTGATTGTGACTTATCTATTAAACAAGATATCAACCTTTGGATAATTTATTTCTATTTCAGTGAATCTACCTAAGCCACCTACAGCAATGATGAGTAGAACCCCATTAGCTTAAAACAAAGATTCAGGTAAATATATTTAGCTAACATATTTAAGTTTAAAATTATTGGTTCAATACTCTTGAATATCATGTCGAGTGTTTTTTGTTAGAAAATTTATACAGTTTTCTTGTAATTACCCCTTAGTGTAGTGTTTGACCGATTTAACGTTGAGCCCTCTTAACATAATTCAGATTGATTCTTTTCCACTACCACATTAATTCATGTGATAGCCATTCCTACTAAGCCAATTTTGCCATTGGCATTTAATAACCTTTAATCAGATAAATTGTTATTAAGATAAAACAATGTACATTATATTGGTAATAGAACTAGAATTTTGAGGTGTTTGTATAGGAATGCATTTTACATATTTTCTAAGGTGAATCAAGAGGAAAGGTTTGTAATAGGCCAAGCAGGCATAGTCGAAGCCCATCTTATAGTCCACTGCATGGCTCAGTGTGATTATGGCGGTCCAGGTCACGAAATACAAGTCCTTCCCGACATGGCTCTGACAGATCATGGCGGTCAAGGTCCAGGAGCCGAAGTCAGTCATTTCGTGAGCATACATGGAGGATGTCCTCAAGACCTCGGCAATACTCAAGATCAAGGAGCAGAAGCCCCTCCTTCAGCCAAAGATATATCAACCGTTCAAGGTCCAAAAGTCCATTTCAGACAAGAAATAGAAACTCCTCATTTCCAATATCTACATCTCGTAAGTACACCTTTGCATAAAATCTGTAATAGCTTGCATTCTGTCCCCTTCCCATAAAGTGGACTACACAAAATTACAGATAAATTTTTAACTTGAATCTCTCATTTCATACATGTATTATGACACTGATGGGTGTAATTGAAGGTTCCAGGATGTATGTAAATTTCACTGTTACCATGTTTAAATGTTGAATTCTGCTTTAGCCAGTGCTAGGGGATTTGAACAGTAGTTTGTATCCAACCAAGTTTGCAACATTTTCAATTTTGCCATTTTGGACTCTCTTTATTAATTCAATTTCTCTTTTTTTATGATTGAATATTTTATATTTTGAATATTAACAAACATGAGATTCTTCAAGGATATGCATGTCCTATGACTATGACTTGAATTTGCCATTGTTCTTGATTTTTAAATTTCAAAGGTTAATTTTAATTTTTAGGTTTTCAAAAGAGAGTTTTGTACTTGCTGACTTCTATAAGAGATGGAATGTCTACAGGTCTCAAACAAGTCGGGAGGTATGAAGTTGAACAAGTTTCATTCGTTAGATGATTTTCAAGAATTCGAGGAGGAAATACAGGACACTGAAAAATTTGCTAGCCTGGTATGTAAAAATCTAACAACAAACATTTAACATAATCTGTCATAGTAAAATTGATATGTTTTGGTAAACTGAAGTAAATACTTGCTCCTTTTTAAAAGCATTTCAATTTTATGAAACATAAGGTACTTTATTTTTGTAAGAAAATAAAAGCAGTTCATCATAAAACATTAAAAGGAAAACACTTTTGACATGTTTTGCATTAATTTTATTATTAAATTGTTGGAGTGGCAAAACTGTTATTTCAATTGAAATTTTTTATTTGAAGAAGCTGTCCCTGTCTAAAATTGGTGGAGTGACTGCGGTCGACCACACAAGGAAGGCAATGGATAGGTATGTAAAAGCAACCCTGTTATTGTTGCACTTTAAATTCTTTTGCTATTCATCATTTAATATATCATTACGTAAACAGATTACAAAAACAAGATTATAAAGTTATATGGATTATGGCTTATACATTTACAACATTGATTTGAATTGGATACTTGACATTGTATATGAACATGTAATATATACACATATATATATATAGATCTATATATATGAGAAATATTTTAATAAAATTTATCAACAGTAAAATTATATTGGTTCTTTATTATAATGGCTGATTTTTGAAAAATTTGTAACATAGAATGTCTCTGATATTTAATACACATGAATAATGTACACTAACAGAATAAAAATTTCCGGAACAAAATATTATTTTGCTATTTTAAGAAGGGTTTTATTCGTATAGCAATAATTTTGTGCATGAGCAATTCGCATTTTAAGGCAAATTAATGCCATTTTATTTTATACAAGCAATTTTGAAGTATACTTTTTATAAAATTCAAACAATAATTTTTGGGTCAGATATATAGCTTTATACACTTTAAGGTTTTATCAATTATGAAGAAATGTTTATTTTTTAACACCTTAATTACAAAGTATTTTAAATTTTGTTATACAGATTGTTTCTGATGCAGTGTCAAACTTTTAAGAATTTTCTTTCAAAAACAAATGATTTATATCCGTGGGCATGAAATTTCGTGGTTTTATCAAAACCGGCATTTTCGTGGGTTCTTAAATTCGTGGATTTTCGTTTTCTTGTTAAAAAAAAATTCAGTAACCTAATGCAAAGTAATCTTAAACTTAATCGCCGAACATTTTTACTTACAACCTGTACATATCTTTACTTGTCACACAGCGGTTGTCAATAAATTTAATCCTATGCCTCTGGGCATAAACTAATATAGCACCAGTTACTGCCGATAATTGACTGCAATTAAACACATTTATGTGACATTGATATGCACCTCCATTGAAACCACTGCCCCTGTAATTTCGCCGATGTAAACATCGCATAATTTATACGACACCTGGGACCTTTTAACAGCGAGTTTAAAAGTTTTACACCCTGAAATTGCGTCTTAACATATTTTAGGACAGTTAACTACACGCAACGTCACAGGCGACTGTGTAAATTTACATGCATATAAAAATTATTCTCGGTAAAATACACGAGCATATGCGGATCTTGTAAAAGTCGGTGGCGTCTTATGTTTACGGAATAGCATTCGCACAAATACAGCATTAAAATTATATAAACTGGAATCATTTAAAAACGACAAAAGAAAGTAAAATATATCTGTTTTAGCGATCGTATTTTTATAGTTTTGTGTACTTACGACATTAATATCAAAGACTTTTTTTTTAAAATTAATAAGAGCAAACTGACAATTTTTATTAGCGCTAATTATTGCACTGCCTGGGTTCCCATATTTACTCGATTATGTCAAGTATTCTTGTTAACACAATCAAGTGCTAGTAGATTTCAACGATCAAGTATGTATATGCGACATTTGTGACTGTTCACAGTAAATTTGTGGACATATAATCGAGTTTTTCTTTCAAGTTTCTTAAATATTGCAAACGGATTTAATATGTCACTAACCTGGTTATCTGTCTGTAATTACATCCGTTTCACTAAATATCGGCCGGAAAAGAGCCGACGCGTGTTTGTTATAATTATATAGAACAGAGACTGGGTAAGAACTATTTGTTGGGATAAAAGTTCGTTGGATCTTAAATTCGTGGATTGATCTACCCACGAAAACCACGAAAATTCGTGCCCCACGAATAATAATGATTTGACAGTATACATTAACTTTTGATTTGTCTTCTGACAGGATGCTACACAACAGCCTGATGGCCAAAATGAATATGAAGGGAAAGAAAGGAAAGTTTCCATTTGGGAAAACCCAACTCTTTCAAGCCATCATAGGTCAGATATTTTATATGTTTCTTTTAATCTTAAATTATAAATATTCTATGTAGTTATGGTTTTAAATATTGTATACTATGCCTACAAACTCAAGCTCGTATATTTGGCCTAATCTACCGCACAGGTTGTAATAAAGCCATTTGTTAAAAAAACAACAACATGTAACACCATATTACACTATAATGTAATGTCTTTGCAATGTGATGTAATCATTTGTAAACAACATATTTCACCATAATGTAATAACTTTGCAATGTAAGATTATTGTAAGATATAAAAAGATAGGGTAACAGCATTCTTATGTTAGTGTAAACTGTAGGTACAATTTTAAAAATATTTTTAATTCAATTTAAACTATTTTATTTGGTATGTCATAAAAAAATAATATATTGTGTAGGTTTATTACATTTGCAATGAACTTGTTGAATAACTCATTATTATGTTTGCAAATTTTATATTTTGTTTACAAGGTTTATTTCAGTATAAATAGACATTTTTTTTAACAATAAGGACATAGTGCTCAAAATGTAGATTTTCTTATATGCAAATGCTGTGAATCTTATATACACAAAAGCATTTTCTTTTTCATTGTAGAGACTGTAAGAGATAGTCATTCAAACGTTACTGAGGTAACAATAAAGGATGCGATAATGAAGCAGTTAAAATATGCGCCAGAACGAGCTGGAGGAGGGGGGAGGAAAATGCAAACAGGAAATCAAAATTGAAATAGTGAAATACAGAATCAAGACTGAAAGAAACAAGATATGTTTGTAAAACATGTATGCCCCCTATCAGCAGCCAATTAGTCATGTGATAAGGTTATTATGCATGACTTCTGACCCAGTGATCAAACAATTAATAAGGGTTATCAAGTATCTACTGGTCATGACCTTAACCTTTGACCCCTTGACCCAAAACTCAATAGGGGTCATCTGCTGGTCACGACCAATCATCATACAAAGTTTGAAGTTCCTAGGCCTAAGGGTTTTTAGTTAATTGATCAGAAACCGTTTTTACCTACAAGATCAATGTGACCTTAACCTTTGACCCCTTGACCCCAAAATCAATAGGTCCTCTGCTGGTCATGACCAATCATCATACCAAGTTTGAAGTTCCTAGGCCTAAGGGTTCTTTAGTTATTGATCGGAAAGCGTTTTAACATACAAGGTCAATGTGACCTTATCCTTTGACCCCAAAATCAATAGGGGTCATCTGCTGCTCATGACCAATCACCATGCCAAGTTTGAAGTTCCTAGGCCGAAGCGTTCTTTAGTTATTGATCAGAAACCGTTTTTACTTACAATGTCAATGTGACCTTGACCTTTGACCCCTTGATCCTAAAATCAATAGGGGTAATCTGCTGGTCATGACAAATCACCATACCAAGTTTGAAGTTCCTAGGCCTAAGCGTTCTTAAGTTATTGATCAGAAACCGTTTTTACTTACAAGGTCAATGTGACCTTGACCTTTGACCCCTTGACCAACAACTCAATAGGGGTCATCTGCTGGTCACGACCAATAATCATACAAAGTTTATAGTTCCTAGGCCTAAGGGTTTTTAGTTAATTGATCGGAAACCGTTTTTACCTACAAGGTCAATGTGACCTTGACCTTTGCCCCTTGACCCCAAAATCAATAGGTCATCTGCTTGTCATGACCAATCACCATACCAAGTTTGAAGTTCCTAGGCCTAAGGGTTCTTAAGTTATTGATTGGAAAGCATTTTTACCTACAAGGTCAACGTGACCTTGCCCTTTGACCCCTTAACCCCAATATCAATAGGGGTCATCTGCTGGTCATGACCAATCACCATACCAAGTTTGAAGTTCCTAGGTCTAAGGGTTCTTTAGTTATTGATCCGAAA